CAAAAGGTTCAAGGTGTGGCAGGTCGAAGGTAATTCGGCCTTAAAAGACCGGGTTGAAAAAACCCTGTATTTGCAAAGACCATAAAGAAAAAAAAGTAGTACATTGTTGTGGTAGACAACTACAATAAAATCCATATGCTGCGGAATTTGAACAATAAGATTAAGATGATCAAATACTTTCAACTTAAAGGACTCAAATGGACTTCAAATCTGAGATTTTGAGATTAAAGGCTAATTCATGGTGAACAAAGTTCAAAAACTCTTATGGGATAGGCTCAATCCTGAATAAAACTTGGTGTGACCTTGAACTTGGGTCCATTGGTAGTTTAGTATTACTCTGATGAGGAAATGCCAATGTTACTTGTGTCTAAAAATGGAGGAGCGTATACAGAACAGTAATGATCACCAACAGTGCCTTCTCGGGTCCTATGATGGGTATAATCAATCCTTCTTAATAACTTGGGCCCCCCTTTTTCCTATTATTAGATTAAATATCATTGCTGTGTATCGGTGAGTTTTCCGCTATCCAGTCCGCCCTAGAGCTTCTTGTTCCCCGTTGTCTGCTTCACCATCTAAAATAATAAAAAATTTCATCAATTTTATTATTTTATTTATATAAATTTATATATTTTATTATATTTAAATATATTTTTAATTTTTAATATATATTTAAATTAATTTTTAATATAAACTATTTTTTATTTAAAAATAAAAATTTATTTAAAATAAATCAAAGAATAAAAATTATAAAACTTAATTAAAAAATAAAAATAATTCAAAAAGCTTTGTTAATATTTTAACTTTTTGCTTTCAATCGCATAATTTTCTTATTTACTTTTTTAGATATAATTGATTTTTTTTTCATTTTCAAATACCTATTACTTTTTTTTATTACTTTAATCAGTTTTTTTTTGCATTAAAATTTTAAAATCAAAGAAGATAAGAAAGAAAAAAAAAATAATAAAAGGCGTATTTATCTTCAAGGTTGCAGTATGGACTATTATGACTGCACCATACCATTTTCTAAATTTCATCTAAATTCTAGCGAAGAAAATCTCATAAATACATTTAAATATTTTTGAATGCAAATGGAATCATTGTGCTTCTATATTAAAATATATTTAAATTATATTTTTAAAAGAATGCAAAGATGCATCATTTTCATCAAGGATGTCAACCGGACAAACTCAAGGAGGATTTTCGCCCCATCCTTGTTCGAATTAGGATATTACAAAGAATCTCATTATTTTAATTATTTTTAAAAATAAAAATTTATATTTTTTTAAACTATCTTATAAAAGTTTGACAATAATAATTATAAACTAATTAAAAAATTACATTTAAATATAACAAGTCAAATATTCAAATTACAAAATTAAATAAAAAATAATTCAAATAAAATTATATTTATATCAAGAACGGGGGGAACGGGGCTATGCTCCCCAAGTCCCATTCCCACCTTCGTTCTCATTCTTAAAATGTCAGTATCCGTGAAGTCGCCCGAGTTGAGGTGGGAGATCATAACTTTTCATCGATTTTGATTGAAATTGATATCTCTAATCCTAATGCTTATTAATTTGACATTTTTTTTTACATTTTTAGAAGGGAAAAAGAAAATAATGGGGGCCTAATTTGCAAAAAGAAAGGAGCGAATTTCTACATTTATCCGAACTTTAAAACTATGGATCCTTCGTTTAAAGAAAAAGAAACTCGTGAATACAGGTGGCACTTTTATGTTGGAAAAGAAGGGAGAAAACAGAATCTGGCTTAATCATTACCAACCAGCCTTGTAACCAGGTCAGGTAAAGAGAAATTACAACAAAATCATTTCAACTTTTGTATTCGGTTATTTTGTATTTAATTGGTATAAAATATTATAATGGTATGATTTCGTTAAAAATAAAATTTATATGTAATTTATTAAAATATTAAATGTTTTTATTTTTCTTATTATATATCATTATATTATATTTAAAATTTAATTTACATCCAAGTTTTTAATAAATAAACAAATTAGTAAAATTTAAAATTAAATAATAAAAAAAGGAAAGAAAGTTAATTAACCGCTTTTAAAGCCAAAATCACATCAATCCCAACTGTTGAAGACCCATTATTAAATGTAATGTTTTTTTTTGCTAGGACAGGCTGGTTGAGCCCACATCACGCAGTCAGTGCAGCCGACGGCGTTTCACCGGCGGATTTAACGCCGGTTGCTTGTAACTTTTCATTTATTTGGCCTCAGATCACAGTCTTATGGCTAGCTCAGTACTCAGCCCCCTACCCCTACTACTGTTGCAGCTGCGCCAGCTCACCTTAGCTGTCACTTTCTAGATCTCATAACTAGGTCGTTTATTATTCGCCACGTGTCTCCTGTTTCTTGATGATGTGATTGTAGCCTCAGCTCCTCGGCTGCCTCAACCTCTCTACTCACTGAGGAAAAGTGTACTAAAACGGCTTCTGCATTCTCATTTTGCAAAATGTTCATCACGGTCTAAATTAACATTAATTGTGATGATATTTAAAAAACCCAATTAATAAATTATTTCTCTAAAAATAATAATTAAATAATTGTTTGACGGTGAAAATAAACGCCGCTTAATTCGATTCTTTTAACTTTTAAGCGGCCATTAATATTACTACGTCCGATATTTACATGATTCAAGCTAATAGTTTAATGAATTGCGTTTGAGGGTTTCCCCGTAATTTCAAAGATGGTAAAGGCCTATCTTTAATTTTATTCTTACTCTTGTCCAACGCAGGGGACGTTCTCGGAATGCAGTGTGAGCTTTGGAAACAAACAAAACAGGATCGGACGGTTGGGGATATATCTTGGATTTTGAACCATGGATTACAAGGTGGGACCCGATTAAAATACCGTAATCCCAATTTATATACAACAATTAATTAATTATTTTGGAAAAAAATAATATTTGAATCCAAAAAGCAAGAAAATAATAGAAAGAGGAAAAAGCGTCGGGGCAACAGCTTTAAACGAACCAAGTTGTTTATTGCCAAAACCCTGTTTGGCAGTGTTAGCTGCAGCAGCAAAGTGAAATGGATCCCTGCCGCTCGTGCTCTCGTTAATCCTTTTCAATTATATTATATTATCCTTGTAAATTAAAGCAAATTAACAATGAATAATAAACATATTTTATTAGTAATAATTTGTTGTTTGGTACGTGTTTTAGAGTTGCATGGTTGGAGAGGGTAATTATTATTATATAAAGCTAAATAAAATAAAACGTTGACAATGGTTAGACTTTGGACCATATCTCATATTATTATTATTATTACAATGAATGCCATAATTGAGGATGATTGAATTTTAGGTTAACAATTATTGAAATTTCAATATTATATGCATGATTTTAAAGGGTAGGAAAAAGGGCGGGGTGAGTAAAACTCTTTGACTCTTCGACCTAGGAAAGTTTGCTTTCTAGATCTTTCGGCTGCCTGGGATCATAAATAAATACAGTTTCCAACAAAATAATTCTTCTCTTAAAGTTTTAAATTAAAAAGGGTATTTATTAGTTTCAGAATTTATTTTCAGTACACAAAAATATCAATTGATCATGTTCTTACTATCTATGTATGTTTATGGATCTGTCGGCTATTAATTAAGGGATATAAAGATTTAAATTTTTTTTAAAACAGATAGTATATATTTTCTGCGTATTCAATGACCATTCAACTTTTAAAATTATTATTATTATTTTTTAAAAAGCATAAGGATAATGAATGTTGTTAAGCTATTAGTATAAAAGAACCACAAACCAATCAACAAAATTTATAATTTGGTCAATATTACCGGCAATCCTTAAATTAATTATAGTAAAATATTAAATATTATATTAGATTTTAAAATATTATTTTAATTATAAATTTATTAATTAAAATTATTTATACATTATTTATTATCATTGAAAATTAATATTATATTAATTAATAATATAATTTAAATATTATATTAAAAATTTTAAAATTTATATATCACATCAAATAATAATTTATTATAATTTAATATAAAAAATTAAATGAAATAAGATTTTTGTTAATTTAATTATCATTACAAGGTATATGAGAAAATAATCGTCAGAGGCACCAACAAATTGTGATAATGTTTGACTAATTCTGGTCTGGATTTTCAATTCTCTTGGACAACAAGTTCTGGTCTTGAATTGCAAAGAGAGGAATAACAAGAAGAAGCAAGCATAACCAAGGAAATAGCAAAAAGTCGGGATTGGTAATAGTAAGATCCCTACGTTCGAAAGTCGAAACCCCCCCCACCCAACAACCATACCAAAATGTGTTGTTCCCTTATCACTGTCAAAGGCATTTAAGCACGCTCCAGCCCTACTTCTCCCTAGTACGACACCATGTTCTCACTCTCCTCCCCCTCGCGTGTGCTGCAAACCCCATTGTACACCGTACCAACGCCGTCTAATTAAGCTACGCGCTCAGGCACATGGAAGGAAACGAGTGAGGAGAATAGGATGGGCATAGAGCTGTCAAAAGATGCAACCACTTTGGGAAACGGTAGTACGAATGACGGCTGTTGTCTGAATTTCTTTATCAATCTAAAAAATAAAATAAAAAACTTTTATATTTTTGCACTAGTAATCTATAATAATTTTCGATAGCCAGCGGTAGTAGTAAGTAATTTTCAAGTCTCTAAACGTCGCTTCACCGCCGTTTACAACGTCCTTTGATAGTTTGTTGCTGTTTATCCTGTCTTTCACAGTCTGCCTGTAGAGTGCAGAGAGAGAGAGAGAGAGAGAGAGAGATTGAAGTGTACTCTGTTATTCTCTTTCTTCATAACATCTCTGTTTCAACCATCCAGTTCACGCAAAACGCCTGTTCTTTCTGCTCTCTGTCTGCGCAATGAACTCGAGCTTTTAAGCTCTCTTCTTTAATGTCTAAGAAGTAACTTTCTTTTTTTTAAAAAAAAATTTTTTGGCTTTTGTTTTTGGGTTGTTTCAGTGTGTGTTGTTAGGGTGAGAATGGAGGAAGGGGCCGTTGTTGGAGAAGAGAAAGACAAGGAAGGAGCTTTATGGGGTTTCAGTAATGGTGATGGTGTTTCTTCTTCTTTGTCCTATTGCTTCTTCACTCAATGATGAAGGTACCTTTTTTCTCTGGGTGGTTTAGTAGGTGTATGTAGCTTTGGAGCTTTTCGTATTCTTTTATTTTTCCATTTGGAGCTTGGTTTTCCATTTTTGGAAATTGTATTGGTTGTTTTGTTTGCTCAAGACTTGATACAATGTGCTCGACAACTGAATCCTTTGGGATTATTGGTTTCCTTTTCCGGAAATATTTTTACTGTGGTATTTAGCTCAAGCAGCATGTGAGAAGTGCTTAAACTGTGGCATTCGGTGAATATCATCTACAGGGGTTTATAAATCAATTTGCCCTCTCTTTTATTTCGAGCTAAAAAGCCTAGAATTCGCTGTCAAAATTCCTTTTTACCAGATTATGTTTGATTGCATGAACATTAACATTCCATCCATCTGGAAGCATTGATTCGGGAATTGGAAGTTTATTCTACTTAAGTGTTTCTTAAGTTTCTTTATCATTAACTCTAGCTATAGTCAGAACGGAATCCCTTCGGCGAAGGAGATAGTGTATTTAAGCCAATAATTTGCTTGTCAGTATGGAAGTCTTGAGTTTGATCTTTATATTTTCATACGTTGAAACTGTTGTTATGCTCCACTATTTGGTGCAAGTAAATAATACAGGATTAATGGTGGTTACAGGGATGGCGTTGATGTCGATAAAAGCGTCATTTAGCAATGTGGCAAATGTACTGCTTTGACTGGGATGATGTCCACAATACTGATTTTTGTTCTTGGCGTGGTGTCTTCTTGACAATGGCAGCGTTTCTGTGGTTTCCCTGTTAGTTTCTCCTTTATATGTTTTACAATTTCTTGTCCCGTTATCTAGTTTGCTATTGTGTTGCGTGGTATTACTCTATTTTGAGTTATCATAATTAAGTTTCTGAACTGGGACTTATTTGTGATTGATGTTGCGTTTTGTGGGTTTGATTCAAGGAACTTGTCGAATTTGATTCTGGGTGGGGAGATTTCACCGGCCATTGGTGATTTGAGGAACCTGCAGTCCATGTACTCTCCTTTCTGTGATTTTTCATTGCTAGGCTTTACAGTAGCTTGCTGATAATCTCATGAGCGTTTTATTTTGTTCTAACATGGCAGAGATTTGGCGGGGAACAAATTAACTGGTCAAATTCCGGATGAGATTGGAAATTGTGGTTCTCTTGTTCACCTGTAAATCCTCAATGATTTAAGGTTCTTAGTTTATTTGCTCTTGTTTTCCTGGAGTTTTGTTTGTCACGTTTTATTTCTGCTGCATAATGCAGGGACTTATCGGACAATCTGTTGTACGGAGACATACCTTTCTCTATATCTAAGCTCAAGAAGCTTGAATTTCTGTAAGATTCTCTTTCCTGTCATCTTTTAGTTAAGAGTATTCAGTTGCTACTAGCATACTAAATCTGATCCCTTGTTTCAGGAATTTAAAAAACAATCACCTAACTGGCCCTATTCCGTCAACATTAACCCAGATTCCTAATCTGAAAACTCTGTGAGTTCATTATATTCTTCTGTCACTCTGTCCAATAATCTTAAAAGCATCACTCTGTCCAATAATCTTAAAAGCATTTTGTAGCAGAAAAATTTTGCTTTTAAGTGTTTTCTGGATTTTGTGATTAATGTCTTTTCAGTGATCTAGCAAGAAACCAGCTTATGGGGGAGATACCCAGGCTAATTTATTGGAATGAAGTCTTGCAGTATCTGTAAGTATTGGTGCCATCACTGCACCTGGCTTCCTTTTTATAGTTACCAACAGTTTTATAATATGGTGAAACCCCTATATCAATTATTATTATTTTAGTACTATGCTTTAAAATTTGAGATGTTGGTGTGGCCATCTACTTGTATTTTGTGCTACATAACCTTAAAGTTGAAAACTGAGTTTCATTTGAACTCTTGCTTGTCGTGTGGTATGGATTACTTATAGTGGATTGCGGGGCAATGTATTGACTGGAACTCTTTCACCAGATATGTGTCAATTGACTGGCTTGTGGTATTTGTAAGTTTCTTGTGATCAAGTGCAGTTTTTTTTTTTTTTTTTTCTATTAGCTTATGTGATACTTGATCATTTTAATATTTATTTCAGTGATGTTAGAGGAAACAATTTAACTGGTACAATTCCTGACAGTATTGGTAACTGTACAAGCTTTGAAATCTTGTAAGTTGAATACCTCTGATAATGCGAGTTTTTCACGATTTAACTGTTCTTCATTTCTAAACCTATGCTGATTGGCAATGTTAGGGACATTTCTTATAATCAGATTTCTGGGGAAGTACCTTACAATATTGGTTTTTTACAAGTTGCAACTTTGTAAGTTTTCCTCTAAAGCTCATGCCTTATCATTATTTTGGTTGTTACAAAATTGTTGTAGATATAATGCTACTTGCAGATTCAGGTTGGGAATCTGTATAGTTTTTCACACAAGTCTAAATGGTCTTATTAATTTTTTATAGGTCTCTTCAAGGAAATAAGCTTACAGGGAAAATTCCTGAGGTAATTGGTTTAATGCAGGCCCTTGCCGTATTGTAAGTATTCCATTTCCCAAAATCTGAATAAAACTGTGTTCCCTAATAGCTCCTGTTTTTTAGGTATTTTGTTTTAGGTGACAGATAATGGTCTGATCTTTTCTTTTTTCTTTTCCAGGGATTTGAGTGAGAATGAACTAGTTGGGCCCATTCCACCAATACTTGGCAATTTATCTTACACTGGAAAATTGTGAGTTTTTATTGCCAAAGACTTCAATGAGTTTATTTTTATTTTGTGTTCTGTAAACTTATTTGTTGGTTTCCTGAGGCAGGTACCTACATGGAAACAAGCTTACTGGTCGAATTCCGCCAGAGTTGGGCAATATGTCAAAACTTAGCTACTTGTAAGCTGCCATTACTTTTCATTTTCAGCAAGTGTTGCTATGCACATGCAGCATTCACTCATCAGAGTTATTTACAGGGAATTTTGTTGTTAATTATTCTGCAGACAATTAAATGACAATAAACTAGTTGGTACAATCCCTGCTGAACTCGGGAAACTGGAGCAGTTGTTTGAATTGTAAGGTTATTACTTTGCGTTCCATATTCTCATTGTTGCTGTTATCCATTCAATCAATCACTATTTTTTCAGGAATCTTGCCAACAATTACTTGGAAGGGCCTATTCCACATGACATTAGCTCATGCACCGCCCTGAATCAGTTGTAAGATATCAATTGAATATCTGAACTCTTATAAACTTTTTTATTTAAATCTTGAAACTGACCTGGCTGGTTGAATTTATTTTTCAGCAATGTGCACAGTAATCACCTCAGTGGGTCTATCCCATTAGGTTTCCGAAATCTGGAGAGCTTAACTTATCTGTAAGTTTTTGTTATGGTTGATTTTGAAATTCTTGTTCATCAGCAGTCAATGAATGACCTAATTAGTGGGTTGATCATGTCTGGTGTCTAGAAATCTATCCTTGAACAATTTCAAAGGCCGGATACCGGTTGAGCTGGGGCATATCATCAATCTTGATACATTGTAAGTCATCAAGTAAGGTTACTTTTTTTTGAAGATGTTTTGACTTTTGATCCCCTAAATTGAATGTCTTTGTGTTACTGTTGTGTTGAAGGGATCTTTCTGGCAACAAGTTTTCAGGGCCTATTCCAGCTTCCATTGGTGAACTAGAGCATCTTCTTACATTGTGAGTTCATTACTGGTTTGTTAGTTTACCTGTGTTATTTTCATCAGTTGTAAGGCTCTTTAGTTTATTTTTATTCTTGTAGGAATTTGAGTAGCAACCAACTTGATGGATTGCTTCCTGCCGAGTGTGGGAATCTCAGAAACATTCAAATAATGTGAGCTTATTTTGTGGCTTTGAGGCAGTGGTCAATA